GTTTGATTTGTAGCCTTCGCTGCAATTTGTTGTTGAAAAGCAGCTTAAAGCGAGAGATCGAAAGGCCTTAGGAAAACATTTGCCAAAATCCGTTCAAGTGACAAGTGCTCAAGTTGTTGTGTTGTTATAACTGCCACGATATCGGCCGAGAGATATGTCCATTGTGGAAGCGGCTTTTGTTTGGTTTCAATTTCTGTTTTTTTTATATATATATATATTTTTTTTTTGGGAGCACAACATTCTCACGGTGGCTGGGTGGATAGATGGGATGGATAGCCAAGGCAAAGAGATGACAAGTCACAACCACAGAGATCAATTGAGTGCCAAGGCTTTTGTCATCAAAACCGAGCAGCCAACGTTTCAACGATCCCTCAATTCATTGATATTGAGATTGAAGAAAGAAATCGATTCAGGGAGTTGTCAGCACTCGAAGAAAAATTCAATGAAATCAGAAATTAGATGAAATGTCAAGTCAAATAAATATTTTAAAGACAGAAAAAGTGTTTTTAAATGAATGAAAGATATTAAAACAATTAAAATTAATATTTTTGTTATATAAAATCTCTTCTTAGGTTTCTTTTTACATATTCTTTACAGTGTATTCCCCTTTCCCCCAATGATGATCGCTCAATTTGCGCAATGACGTGAAAGATTGTCCGTTTTTCGGGTAATCGATCTTCTAGGCGTGTTCTTCTTTTATTTTCGGACCCGAAGATGATACAGTTCTTAGCCCCGGCTACCGTTTGTGCCTGCAGTCCACTCTTTATATTCCCAGATCGGTTTCATTCCAAAACACTCACACCATTATCATCTCACAGGCAGGCAGAGGCACCTTGCCCTCTCGGTGGAGTTGGGGCGAAGGATTATAAACTTTATTGCATACTCTTCAGTGTCTTTTATAGTTCTGTCTTGGCCTTTTGTTTTTCCCATTTTTATACGACTGCCAAGTCGGGTTATTTACGACATTTCGAGCCAAAAGTTGCAAGGTGCAAGTTTTAAACTGTGGAATTTTTATGAGGGCCGACGGTATAGGGAGTGCTTATATAACACTGAGTATTCGTAGCAAATAATAACAATAAAAGATAGAGAGATAGAGGCAAAAGAACTAGCCAGGGTCCCACAGATAACTCAGGGGGGAGCTATATATTATCGCACCTTGCGACCCGCAGAGATCTAGCGAATTCATCATTATCTTCTATCAGTTCCGGAAATCTTGGCTGCCTTTTGCTTATAATTTAGAGTTTACTTTAGACTGCTAGACCCTCACATAGAGTCTTGTTTGATATCTATATTATTGGATCTGAGTTTGGGATTTGATTGTGAAGGTATTTGATATGAAAGTATGATGGTTTTTTAGTTAACTTTTTAACATTAAACTGTAGTTACTCAGTTTATTCAAGATTATCAAAAATCAAATAAAAATCTCTTTAAAATTTATTCGAAATATCTTTACTAATATTAAAACGTCTTGAAATATATCTAACTTCCCCGTATTAACCTCTTAATTAATGGGTCTCCCCATCAACTTCATCTTTACCTCCAATTTTTGGCCTACTTCAGATTTTTCCTATTGCTGTCACAGTCGGAAAATAAAAATGGAAATGGCAACTTTTCCAGTGATTCTAAGACCTCGTTCGCGCGCACAAGAGACCCATTTAAAATTCATGGGCAGATTTATGCATCTCGCATTGAATACTCAACCGCAGCAGGCAGGCCTCACGACACGACACTCACGAGTAAATTACAGTCAAATGACATGCTCGCCAAAAATGCCACTTCAAATGTGTCCTTCTGTCCTTCTGTCCTAGCCGTCCTTCCCCCTTCCTTCCCCTGTGGCTGCCTGTCTGACAACTGACATATTTTCAAAAGTGGGCATAGACATGACAACAGCAACAACAAGAACAACGGCAATTGCATGTGTATAACCAACAAGCCAACAAGGAGAGGGACTGCAATTCGCAGTTTCGGGTCCTCTACACTTGAAACAAAAAGTTGTATGCATGAATGAATATATGTTATATATTTGTAAGTTTTTATTAGAAAATCTTCGTTAGAAAATGTGATTTGAAACCTTTTTTTATAGCTTTAAAAGGAATTGAATTGTTTTTATTTTTATAACCTGGCAGGTTATCATAGTTTAAGTTAGGATCTTGTAAGTCAGTAAAGGAGTCATTTCCGACCCTATAAATCATATATATTCTTGATCAGCATCAACAGCCAAGTCAATCTAGCCATCTCCGGCAGAAACAAATTTTTTAAAATTTTATTAAAAATTTGATAATTGTTCAAATTATTTAAATTTTCAAATATATCAAAACATTTGTACTTCTTAAAAAATTATATGTTGAATGTAGAAAAGTTTTCCGAATTAAAATTAATGCTTTTTTGCCTAAAGTTGGTTTATTTTTTATTTCCCAAAAAAACATATTTATATTTTAACATCTTTTCTAACTATTTCTTTACTTATTTTTTATTTACCATTAAATTTAATTCTCTCATAAATTATTTTCATTATTCCCCAAAAATAATTTCCAAAAATCAATTATTTTTTTTTAAGTGCTCACAAGTCAAAGTCTCAGCCTCCGTTTTTGTGTGTTAAAACGGGCGTTGGGAAAACAAATTGCTGAAAACACCCCGCCGAATGCAGCACCCCTCCTCCTACCCCATCCCCCTGGTTGTCCTTGTTGTTGGTTGTGTTTTTTCGGGCGAGCAATGTGAAAAGTTAAACGAAAGTGACAGGCTGAGCGGGACGTAGCAGAGCGCAGGCTCGTTGAGGGAAAATCCAGGGGAGGGGAGGAGAGGGCAAAAAAGGTGAGGTAGGCAGCAGGCAAGGTGGTGGCTGGGAGGGGGGTTGGGACAGCTATTAAACGTGTCACACACAGCGGAGTTGAAAAGTTAAATGGCAGCGGGCAGCGGCTGCGCGCAAAGAGCGAGGAAAAACTGAACGAAACGAGGCGAAATGAGCAGCGCGGCCATGTTGTGTGTGTCTGCTCATGTATGTAGTTATATCTGCCACACACGCACACCCATATCATCGGCACACACTCCTCACCAGTTGCGCCTGGGACTACTACTGACGGTGGCCATATTGCATATTTCACTGGAATTTCGGGGCAGCCGCAGACGCCCGTCAACCCCCCTCGACAAAAAGATACATTTGTATCTGATAGTCTGCTGCGGCTTGTCATAAATTATTCTCATAGATATCTATTACCCAGGGCTGCTGGTTTTCCATGTTTTTTGATACACCATCATTGGGCTAAGGGGTATTTATGATTTCTTTGAGGAGTTTTTAATATAAATTCTTGGCTTTTGTAGAATTGTATGTTTGTCTGTTTATTTTTATTTGAATTTTTTAAGTTTTAAGTAGCTTAGCTTAGTATTTTTACTGTCTAAATATGTTTTTAAATAATAACTTTCGGGGGTCTAAAACTAGTCTTACCCCTTTAAATTCTTTTTCCCGTTTGGCATTGTTTTATTAATTGCTTTAGCCGTAAATGTCGGGCCCTTTGATCGCGGCCTAGTCATGGCCAAGTCTTTGTTTAAATATGTATTTTGCTTGTATTTATTTATATATTTTTTTTTTGTCAATGTCTGGCGGCAAGGGAAAAAGGGAATTCGTCAGCTAAGTTAATAACAAGTGGCTACAAGCGACGACAATTATTTGCGGCTTCAATTGTTTTGCCATCAGCAAAAGTTTAACTTATTTTTCTCGGCCATTTTTTGATTAATGGAAAAAACATTTTTGTGTGGCCATCAGTTTATATTTTTTAATGAATGGAAAAAGAAATATATATACACAAAAACAAAATGACGGCCATTAATTAAATGTTTCAAGTATGGCAGTCAATTCTTTTTTATATTGAAAATTCCGAACTGAAATTGCACATCATAATCAACGATAACCAGATCGAGAATTGAAGTGAAGGATAATGAGAGGGCATTAATGGTGAAATTATGAGAGCAGACTTAAATAAATTATTTGAGTTTTTACGAGGGCCTTAAAAATTCACAAAATATTAAAATACAAACCAAGATTTATATGGGCTGTTGCTGGTAAAGTGATTTATTCTCATGTTATAAATAATTTGCATATTATTTTTAGCACTCAGTGACAGTAATTCTGTTAAAATAAGTTAATACCATTATATTACAAATAATTTATCTTCAACCATTCAATGTAGATGAGTATCTTTCGCCAGCTGTTGAAATAATTGCCAAAAGGAGCACTAAAAAAATCAATTAAGAAACTCACAATCTGAATAATGCTCCACGGATTATTTTTTCGTTTCGGTTTAACTTTTGTGTTTTTTTTCGGTACTTTATGAAACGCAATAAAATTTGTTTGAAACACTCATTTAAAACGGCGTAACATGCAGGCGAGACATTGAATATTCATTAGATCGCTCCGACGGTGGGTCAATAAATTTCACATTTCGGGGGGAACCTGGAATTAAAATCGAACTCGTAGCAGTTGCCGTCGCCACCAACACAATAACAATAATAATATCGCCAACAACAATTAGCATAACATTTTTAAATTTATGGTTCAATTTTCAAAGAAAAAACGAAAAACTAAACAAAACAAAGCGAATGAAACTCGTCCCATCTTTTGTTGCTATTGAAATTTGTTTAATATACATAAGTTAAATGCTGCAGCCGCGAAATAAAACAGAAGCCGCCGGGACATTTGCCAGATTTATTGAACGATTTCATTTGAAGGCACAACAAAAGAAGAAACAAATCCGACGGGGCGCTACGATTTCAGATCAGATCGGTTTGGCATAGAAAAGCCGATCCGGTTCTCAGGCTCCAAACAAACTAAATGATAAAGAAAAGGCTTTAAAATTAGCATATAGAACCAATTTAAGATTTATGTCTAACTAAGTGTATATATCTACAATATCTGATAAAAATATTTTTTTTTAATTTCTGTTTAAGAAAAACATCCTCCTTTTCTTTAAGCCAACTATTTAAATTTTTCATTTTATATTTTCCAGACTGAGCTGCGTTCCTGCGCAGCGTGTGGAGAACCAATCTCTGATCGGTTTTTCCTGGAGGTTGGCGGCTGCTCCTGGCATGCCCACTGCCTTCGCTGTTGCATGTGCATGTGCCCCCTGGACCGACAGCAGTCCTGCTTCATCCGGGAGCGACAGGTGTACTGCAAGGCCGACTACAGCAAGTGAGTACAAGCCCATAACAATAAACATAAGAAATAAATTTAAATAAGTATGATTTAAAAGCTAGAAAATTTAAAAGGTTCTTGGAAACCTTTCCAAAGAAGGCTATACTATTTTTACCGAATTCTGTAAATTGGTTTATATTTTTAGGATTTATAAGTTTTATAAACTAATTTTGAAAACCTGGTTATTTCTAAGTAACCTACCAAATAGGCCTTGAGTATAGAATCAAATCATTTTCAATACCATTTCTCATTCTTTGGCAAGTCTTTGACATCACACTTTCATCTTTTTTTCAACTAAATTATGAAGTAACTTTGTGTATCTTAAAATTCATTTAATTCCTTCTTTCAAATTTTCATTTTTGGCTAAATTTTTAAGTTTTAAAGTGTTTTGTATAATTCTTGGATTAAAATGGGCTCAGAGAAACGTTATTGTGGAAACATCCTGTGGATGATGGAGTTTGTGGTGGACGATCTGCTGATTACACGCCAGAATAAGTGTGCGCCAGAGGAGTATCCCACCTGTGTTGAGATCACCTTCCGGTCGTCGGTCTACGTGAGTGTCTGCGACCGGGAATACGGCTCCTGCGTGAATCCCCTGTCGCCCAAGTGCGGCAAGTGCGTAGTTTTCACGCTAGACTCTCCGGTCAAAGAGGAGGATAAGCTTTTCATACACGTTTACAAAAAACGCTCGAACTGCAAATATTTGCTTGGAATGACCGAGATGAAGGCCAAACCTATCTTCGATCGGGTGAAGACAGACTTTGATGCTATAAATCCCGACTGGCAGGCGGGCATAATGCACAATGTGATCACTAGACCCAATCTAAGGAAGGGATGCAAGCCCAACATTTGTGCCTGCTATGGCGCAGTGCCGGAACGTCCGGAGTCATACTGCGCCACCTCGGAGTTGACCAAGCGGCTGTTGCCGCTGTTCAATCAATGCAAGATGCAGACTGGGAATTTGATTCTAATCATGAGAGTGGTCTGCAATGGGCCAGCCGTCATCTCAACATTTCCATTCCAGTCCCCAAAGACCAAGTGCCCGTGTCTAGGATGTCCTTGAGTGGAATTTTAAATGAAATTTTTAAAATATCAATTTATATAGTCAAGGACTACGAAATATAATAAACAGAATTTTATTTACAAAATATATTAAAAAATAAGACTAAAAGCAAGCCAACAGCTGGTAGTTTCCCCCTACTTAAACTTTCCAAAATTTCCCATCGATTTTCCACCTCCAACTCCCAACTATGTGCACAAGTGTTTTCCCACAGTTTTCCGTTGGCTGGTTAATTGTTACAATTCGACTTAATCCATTAAGTCAACAGCGACAAAGATGCGGCCAAAACGTAACGAAACGAAATGAAAACTTTACGAGGCAAATGCAACTTGCAAGCCAAACTACGGCCCCAGTATCATTCGTATCTGATGGATACAAAATCGAGAAATGGGTAGAGACGTTGAAGAAGAACGTCGTAGGAAAAACGGTGTCGACGTCCAACGAAATGAAAATAAACAAACAAACGCGCCGTGAGATGCTGTAAAAATATTTATTTTTCAAGTTAAGAATTTTAAGTGTGCATTGCCTGCTGCCCGATGGAGACATCATCCATGGCATTGCATCCCCGCCAGCTCCAGCTCCAGGTCCGTACATACATCCACGTCCACGTCCACATCCGAGTCATGCCCTGGCCATACATTGTTGTGGCTGTTGTAAAAATAAGCTTAAAAGCTAACAATAAGCCACCGAAAGTTGCCAACTCATTTGGAAAAACGTTTGTCGGAGCATCGATGCTGGGCACAACTTCCGCTTGGAAAAAGTCCCAAAAAAAAAATCATACGGGAAAAACCGAAAACCGTATCCAAATGATTCACTTCACTCAATTTTCACAAAAACAAGTTACAGGAATATTTGTTAATTGATTTGTTTAGTTTTTACTGAAGAATTATAGAAAATAGTTTTAAAAATTAAGGAAAACCCTTTAGCTAAAGTATAAATATATTTTATTAAATTTATAAAGTATTCAATTTTATATAAAATCTCTAGAAAATATACCACCCCTCTGATTTTGTAATATCTTCACCTTTTATTGCCAAAACTGATTTGCAATTTCCGTTTTCCGTTTCTTTTTAATTGCAGAAATTTCGGCGCCAAGTGCTCAAAGTGCTGTCGCGGCATCTCCGCCTCCGACTGGGTGAGACGGGCCCGGGAGCTGGTCTTCCACCTGGCCTGCTTCGCCTGTGACCAGTGCGGCCGCCAGCTGTCCACCGGCGAGCAGTTTGCGCTTATGGATGACCGGGTGCTCTGCAAGGCTCATTATCTGGAAACGGTCGAGGGTGGCACCACATCAAGCGACGGTGAGTTTTTCTTTTTGTTTTAATATTTACAAAAAAAAAAAAAAACACAAAAAACAAAGCATAAAAACAGTGAAAACAAGTAGGAAACATGGCTGCACGCTTCGGTGGCAAAAGGGTTGCCAATTTGGAACGCTTCACTGTGCCAAGACTGGGGACGGTACAGTGAAGCTGGGAATCACTAAGCGCCAGCCAGTCGCCGTCGTTGACGAAATCGTGTCATACTCGTAAAAAAAACCACTCCAGCCTTTGCTGACGTGATCGGCTTGTAAATGTCGCAGCCTAGACCTGAGTTTCCCCCTCCAAAAAATTTCTGGAGGAGACCACCGGGCCAGCACGGTGGCCACATAAAGCACGGCAGCAGCAATAGCAGCTCTATAAACCATAAACACTTTTTGACATTTTCAATTTGGCCGACTGTCAAAATGCTTTTAGAGCCAAGTCCGAGAGACGAGAGACCTTAAGGCCCTTTAAGCAGTTGGTTTATGGAGGAAAAATAGCAGAAAATAAATCATAATACACTTGGCTTTAAATCTAGTTAATTCTTAAAACAATTTTTATATGTTTAAAGGTGCAATTTCAAAGTTAATATAATTTAAAAGTAAAGAATATTTAAAAAGGAAATCAATAGGCATTTAATTGCTTTAATATTTATTTTAAATATATTTCTTAAGAAAGAAATTCATTTATAATTGTGATATATTTTTTTCCAAGTGCTTATAGTCTCTTAGTTCCTTTACGATTTATATAGCGATTAAATTTCCGATCCTCACACGTTCTTATAATATTTATAATACCAATTGCCATTCCCATTTCAATTTCATTTCCAGATGGCTGTGATGGCGATGGTTATCACAAGAGCAAGACGAAACGGGTGCGAACCACCTTCACCGAGGAGCAGTTGCAAGTGCTGCAGGCCAACTTCCAGATTGACAGTAATCCGGATGGCCAGGATCTGGAGCGTATTGCCTCGGTGACCGGTCTCAGCAAGCGTGTGACGCAAGTTTGGTTCCAGAACTCGCGGGCGCGTCAGAAAAAACACATACATGCTGGTAAGAATAAAAGTAAGTAGTGGATTAGTGCAGCATGCCAACCCAGAGAAATACCCCTAGAGACATACCCTAGATTTCCCGTAGAAGCCCAAACCCTCCTCCAAACACACACTACAAAAATACAAAAAAAGAAAAGAAAAAAGATTAAGATGCTAACACAGTATTTACAATTTCTTCTGTTTTTTTTTCTACTTTCAACAAACGATTTTTGATTGCAGTACGCGAACCGGAAGGAAGCTCATTTGCGCGTCATATTAACCTGCAGTTAACGTATTCATTTCAGAATAACGCACAGAACCCAATGCATATGAACGGCTCTAAAGCGGGTCTATACCCGGCACACGGTAAGGAATCACTAAAGAAAATAACTATTATTAAATATTTAAACTAAAGAGATTCTATAACGATCTCTGACTTATTGCAAGTCGTACCTTTTTTACCCAAAAAATTCCAAAAAAGATATAATAACCTCTACAAAATATTAGATAATAATTAAAACAAATCCCTAAGACTATAATTGAAAATGTGTTGACAACTAATTACCCATTTCTTTCTCCTCCTTAGAATCCTCCATGGATGAGTTGTCGCAGGACTCGAGTGTGCATTGCATGCCCAGCGAGGTGTGACTAGAGCAATCCTCGCCAGCTCGAGCCCATCGCTAGGCTGGCCCGCCCAAGAAACGTCCTTTCCTAGTCAAAATTTTTGTGTAAATCGTCCACGAAACCAGAAGAAACACTCACAAGCGAACCACCATACAAAGCAGCCAGTCCCAGTTTAAAAAGGCTTTGAGCAATCTGTAATTCTGTAAACCACAAGCGATTCATCCATTCCATCAGCATCATTCACAGTGAAATCTCATCGAAAATAAACAGAAAAACATTCCTGCATTGTAGTGTGGCTTAGAAGCTGCAAAACTTAGTTAATTTAATTTAAATGAAATTTAAATTTAATTTAGTTTAATGTTCAGTAATCGTTAAGTGTTTACCCCGAAAAGAAAAGAGAAACCATTCAATTTGAAGATGGATAACTGCTTGCCAAGGCTCCTGTAATATATTTATGTGTATGCCTAACCAATCATTGTCTTACACCTACCTATACACCACAAGCGAAACGTTGTTATTGTTTATTTTCTTGTTTTTTAAATGTATAAAATCGATATAAATAGTCGTAACCTAAACACATATAGCTGGCCAGGCAATTGTATATAGTAATTATAGCCGAAATTGATAAGCAACGCAGATAAATGAAGGAAACTACACAGCTAAAAACTAACATTTAGTTAACACAAATTATAAAAATACAATTAAAGATGAACCGAAATCAATTAAAACGAAAAAAATAAGAAAATTAAAGAAGGAAACTTTTTCAAAAACAAAAAAATTACAAGTGTGTGTGTTTATTTTCTGGGAATGTAAAGGGGGAAATGAACAGATCTTGTTATGGAAAATGTATTAATATTTAAAGAGGGCTTAGAGAAAACCATTTTTGAAAGAAAAATTAAGTATGGTATACAAAAATCTTAAACAGAAAAGGTTTGAGGCAAGACTCTCGCGTCAGGAAGTATTTTTAAGGAATATATATTTGGTTTCTGCTTAAAAAGAAAGATTAAATTAAAAGGGAAAACTAAACCAAATAAAGTAAAACTACAAAATATTGTCATCCTTTAAAATCAAGCTCTTTTTCTTAATTTTCAAAATATGTTATCCTTGATTCTGTCACTCTAAACATTTAAGCTGCAAAATCTACAAAGGAAATCGCTTCGTTAATGTCTTAATTTGTGGCTCAGCATTTGCTAATGCCAAACGATCTCTTTGGGCAACACTCGAAATCGATTTCCGGTGTGTGCAGCCCCCGGGTGCTCGATCATCAACCTGGCGGTGCTGTTCTCAACCCATTGAGCGATCATTTAAAGCATCTGCCGCAGACAGTGTGACGACGACGTTTTGCGCCTGATCATCGACTCCCAGTCCCGCATTACCGTCACCATATAGCCAGATCTCCATCCCCAACCCCATCCCCATCCCCAATGGCTATGGGCACTTGAGCTGCCAGTCATGTGGCTGGATTCTAGTGTTGCACTTCAGGTTCGGAGCTAAGTGCAACGAAAATCGAAATGAAAAACGAATCGCGGCGACGGCAGTCGAGCGATCCGAGGCATTAATTGAATTATAAGCCTAGATTATGCAAAGGTTTCCTGCCTCTGGCCAGCTGTTTGGCAATTTGTGTGGAAGATCATCACCATGATCATGGTTATTGGGATTGAGAATGTAGGTTTGCACCGAGAAAAAATTTGGGAAAGGTAAATTCCTTTAGAATATATATTAATATATATTTCTAATAATATTTTAGATAATTAAATTTATTTAAGACATTTTTACTTAAATTTTTCCTTTAATACTAAACAGTCTGAAATAAAAATTGCAACCTAAATTTGTATATAAAAGCATGACACTGTTTTATATTTTTTTATAATTTTTCTGTACAAGTTTCCCTTATATTTGTGTCCGTGTAGACCTTAAGATCCAATGGGTGGGCATGACTTGGCATTCGATGAGACTGCAAGTGACTGGGATTGTAACTGAGACTGGGACCCTGCACTTGTTTGTAATTCCTGTTGTTGGTCTATAATTGTGCGATCGCATTGCAGACCAAAAAAGAAAAAAAAAAGGGCTTTCCATAGCACGTTACAAAAATATCAACAAATCGTCATCATTAATAATGATCACTCCGGGCCACGGTTGCGCTCTCACACAAACATACACTCCGATATACAAGGTATTTTTATTTATTTTTTGGGCTGCATGGTTCATTTGTCAAATTTCACCGAGAGATCTGGGTAGATCTCCGAGATCCCAGATCCCAGATCCGAGATTCACAATCCCCGATCCCCTGGAGATATCTCTCGATCCGAGCTTGTTGTTATTTGAGCAAACATTCAACACTTGAAGCGAGAGATTTTCGTGGCCAGCTACAACAACTCAATTCGAGTTGAAGCTGGAGGTGGAGTTGAAGTTGAAGTTGGAGTTGGGGTTCCAGTTCGAGTCCGAGTCCCCCTTCTGCGGCAATGGAATTATGAATGATGTGATACTTTTGCCATTGAGATGTTTTCACAGTCGCGGGCCTCATGACATGCCCCAGCCATATCTTATTTGCTATATCTACATCGCCTTCGGACGCAAGATTGGGAGCTGGCAAGCCCGATCTCCCTTCATCCCGATTCCCGCGTCCCGCGTCTCCGATCTCCGATCCCCATGTGGATGTTGCTGTTGTGCCACTCCGTGTTGCTGCCGTGTTTGTGTTATTTCTGCTGGAAATGAGCGATCGCGTGCAATAATTTGTAGACGACTAAAGCTGAGAAGAGGAACGTTAAGATCTTGTACATTGCAAGAGATCCCCGAGATCGCAGTTCGAGAATCCCAAGCTTAAATCGCGCCTGCTGCACAGGCACACATCATTTTTCAAAATCATTCAAACACTTGTTAAATATTTTCTTAACCGATTGATGATGATTGTGACTGGCCGAGGTGGATCCATATCCATATTCATATTCATATCCATCCTGCAACAAAATTATTTGTGTTTATCAATAGACGCAAGCTGGAAAAGAGGTTCAAAGTCGTGGAACAGAGATCTTTGTAGATGCACAGAGGAAAAATATTAGTAAATTAAATATTATAAGAGAAATTTTACTTAAATCTTATGTTTTCTTAGTAAAAAACTTTCAACTTTTGATTTCTTCCTGTGCATCCATCAAAGGCATTGACTTATTACGATTTTGTTGGCCTTTTCACATCCACGCTGGGCCGCTGAAATTAATTGATATCTGTGGTATGCGCTTTGTTGGACTTTGATGAGAGGCGGCCCTCAGTCTCCAGTCTTCAGTTTACAATCTTCTGTCTTCAGTCTCCCGTCTTTGGACTTTGGTTTTTTCGAATCGAGTCTTGTGGCCACTTTAGGAACTGATGATCGATTACAGAACGTGCCAGAGAGTCCATTGAAAACGGGGTCAAGTGTGAGGATGCCTGCCATTCGGTGATTGGGTATGCAAATGTCCAGTCCGACCAGATGCAATAAGCATTGTAATTCCTGGCCATTGGCCCATCATCGCCTCGGCAGCTCCATCATCGCCAGATGATCCATCGAGGAGGTAGGTCTCTTTGGACAAAGGCAGCCCGCTCCTTTCAACACGGCGGCGGGGACCAACCTCAGTGACAGCCTGTCCGGGTTGCGTGTGACTCATGCCGCTTGGCATTTTAATTGATTTTGGGGGGCGCAGAAATCTTGTGCCAAAATCCTCACAATCCCCACACCACACACGACCCGCTGGCACACGTTCTATGGCCTCCAGTCAGAGGTGTCTAAAATAACCCGAAAAGAGGGGCTTAAAGTTGCTAAAAGGATCAAAGGAATCTGAAATTCAAACATCTAGATCTGGGTTTTTCTTTCTTTAAGTAGAACCCCCTTTGGGCCACACCTCTGCCAGTAAAGTCAGGCACGTACGAAGAACGCTGCTCACCTAGGAGCTTGGAATGGGAATGGGACATTCATCATGCTGCGCTGCCCGCCAACTCTTGCCTGAGTCTTTTTGAATCCGAATCGGAATCCGCATCCGAATCTGACTGCCTGCGTAGGCGTTGGCCGGTGGTCAACTCCTGCTCCGCCTTTACCCGCCACCTCCTTCGGTTTCTCCCTCTCCTTCTACGGCATCCCAGCATCCATCGGTGCTGTGTGTACCATCATCATTGGGCGTTGGAGCACGTAAAAATGTAACACCAACTGGCTGGACTGCGGGGTCTGAGGAATCGACAACTTACGCACCTTTGAGCTGGCTTTTCGGTTTATTTTTAGCCAAAAGATCAAGTTAGTTTTAGTTGGAGTTTTAAGGGGAACAAAATAAAAATAAAAGGAAATTATTTATAATTCTTAAAAGGCAATCTCCGATCTTTTGATTAATTAAAATAAGAAAGATATACAATTTATTTATATTATTGAAAGATCGTTAATATTATTCCAGAATTTGGGACTAAAAGTGTTAACAAATATATATTTTCTTTCGTATTTAGTATATATTTTTTAAATTAAAATGTTGTTTAATTTAACTTGAAATTTTGAAGTCTTAATTATTTATTTAACTTTAGCTTTTTGCCATTGCATTTGATACTCAACACTGATATGCAAGGAGCTTCTGTTCAATCGTTTGGGTGATTCCCGGGGCCAAGTCCCGTCCAATTGGCATTGGGGCAACGGAGGCGAGGGTATGCGAATCCCTGCCCCTAGCTTTTGCCTTTTGCCCGTCCTGTCCGGTGGCCACCGAGTTTGCTTAACTCGACTCGACTGTGCGCGCACAGGACACCCAGCTGTGGTCGCCGGGCCAACAAGCCAGGCGGTGGTTGCTCCTGGAGCTGCAACACAAACAGCAGCAGTAGCAGCACTGCACTGAAAGAAAAAATGCAATACATATTGATAACGAGATCAAAAACATAGAAAGATATAGTTTTACTCTCCTCCAAATTAGTTATTTTTTTAGAGAAAATGTAAAATTAATTTAGTAAATTTCAATAATCTCTTAATTTGTTTTCTTACTGTGCAACTTTAGCGGCAAAGACAAGTCCAGCGACTGGCGACTCCTTTGCTGCAACGTCCTCCAATGACGACAACTTTGGCAGTACACCTCAACCTCAATGTTTGTGCAAGCAACATTCGCATGCAAGTCAGCAAAGTTTGCATTGACACGCAGCAGCATCAGCAGCGAATTTGCATAAAGGCGAGGGGTGGACATGGCCCCCTTTTGTGGAGAGAAGCTCAGAGAAGCTGGTGTCATGGTGCCCAAAAAACCAGACCAATTCAAAATAAAGTGCTTTCTGTTTTTCTTATATCTACGGATATCTGATAGATTACAAGGGGATTTTTGCATTGAATTATATTAGTTAAATATATATATATATTATTTATGACCAGACTTTATTTATAATAATTTATTTTATAGAATTTAAAATCAAGACAAAAGAATTGTTGGTTTCTCTTATAGATACACCTAAGTGCAGTTGCTAAAAATTAATGATTCTTTTTTCTTGTTCTTTTACTTATAACCTAACAATTTTTATATTCTCTTTTAAGTAGTTTATTATACAAGAAATTTTGTATTGATGGTCTAGATTAATTTCATCTTACATTAAGAATTATAAGTACATTTTAATTGTCCCCAGAGAATGTTAAATGTATTATCTTTAAATGAGTTAATTTGTTTACTTTCAAATTTTTTGGGTTCTGCTATATTTATATAATTCCCTTTGGCAGCAAAGAAGAAGGAAGGAACCCTATGATGAAGATGGACGTGTTGCTGGTGGCTTCCCATCACCAAGAGCAGCAGCAGCAGCAACAAGAGCCCCATTAGGCCGCACATAAACTGCATGCAATGAAATTCACTCCTGTGGCGTGGCCATGTTGCTACTGCAGTTGCAGCGGCTGCTGCGCCAGTTGCAGTTGCAGTTACTGCTGTGTCTGACTTATGGCAATTGCCAAGGCAACATTTGTTGCTGACGGGACGGCGGCCATTAAAGATGGGGGCGTGACCGTTACTAACCAAAGCTACCTTTCAGTTTTATGTAAATTAATATTTTTATGTCTTGTTATTTTGTATTATGAATTTAATTTATTTAAAAAATATATTTTACTAAAATTTAAGGCTTAATAAAAAACTCTATAAAATTGTTTCCATTTTAAACTTCGTGCTGACACACGCTGCTGCAATCACGAGACAATCTCGAATTGCAGTCGCTGCCTGTTGTTTTTGGATGCTGGATGGCAATTTTTTTCAGTTTTTTGTTGTATTTTGTGTTGTTGTTTATTTCACTTACCCCCCGCAAACATTTGTTTCAACACGTACGCGCAAATGAGTTTACAAGGTGCGATATTCATGTTGCTGCTGCTCTCGGATGGATGTTGCTGCCTTTACTGTTGCACATTGCAGCTTGTCAATATTTACTATGCGCCCCAGCCGGAGCAACATGTTGCCGAGCAGGCCAGCTAATCGTATTTTAGCCGTATTTTATATATATTAATAGCCCAGCGACAGTAAAGAAGTCCTTATGCCCCGTCGAGGAGCCTCTTATTCTCATTTCTCATTCTTATTTTTTATGTGATGTTGCTGCTTCGTTGGCTTTGACTTTGGCTTCAGCTTGTGTTGCTGCTGCTGTTTGCCGCTTTTAGTATAATTTTAATTAACGCATTCGATGATGCTGCTGCTGCTGCTGCTGCTGTTGTCGCCTCCTCCGACGGCAGCTGCTGTCGTTGTCTTTGGGCCAACATGCTAAAAGGTGTTAATTGGCGAAATTTCCATGTAGAGCTTAACCAAAAACAGAACAGCAAAGCGAAAAGGGAGGCTACAAAGTTCCTCCAGTCTGCCTCCAGTCTTGGGTATTGTCAACAAGATTTGCTTTATTAGCCACTTTCGGGTGGTTGCAACATTTCCAGTAACAGCAGTCACAGCAAAGCTGCAGCAGCAACACCAGCAACAGCACCGACAGAAAACCACCAACAGCAACATCATTGTCAACAGCAGCATTCGCTTTGACTTTGGTTTTACACGGAAAGAAAATAGGTTATAAAATAAGATTAATAAACAAATAATAATATGTACTATTTTTTACAAGAAAATATTATTAATAGACCTTGGCTTAATATATTTTATATATTAAGCATTGAAAATTTTATTTAATTTTAAAATGTAATCTAAAGTTTTAAGTTGAAATAACACTGAATAAAATAGAATATAATAAAAAATTTATTATTATTTGAAATTGAATTTTAGTAGGAATTAATTTTCTTTTACAGTATTATTATTATTAGTTTTATATTTAGTTTAAACTCTACTTTATTATTATAATTTTTATTAGTATTTTATTTTATTTTTATTATAAAATAGAAAATATTCAGTGGCTTTCTTTAGGTGTAACCTTGCTAGCAAATTTTAATGAGCATCAGCGACTCGTGCTGCAGATGAGTAAATATTTTCATGGTTTAATTTCATAAATTATGACAATTTTCAAGTCCTGCATGCCGACGTCTTGTGCGTATATATCTTATACATATGTATGTATATTGAAATCCCCAAGTTATTACCCCGCCGAGATATTCAACCGATCTGGAACCACATCCAAGTGAATTACGATCGCCACAGCAAATCAACTTAAAGTGCGGCGACAGGACACCGAAAAGCTCCTAAATTTTACTTAAGAACATCTGAGGTTCGTATGCACAACGCCATCAATGGGCATGGACTTTATCCAAATAGGGATGGCTTAAAAATATCAAATATCGGTTTAATATATAAATAAAAATATACATAAATTATTAATATTTAAATTATCAAATGTTATTATTTCGGGGAACCTTGTTAATCCTTTTCGTTGATTTTCTAAATATTTTACATCTGTAAATAATACTCAGAAGATTGATAATTTAAGATATTTATTGAATATTTATATTATTTGATATTCCGTCGATATATCCTCCCCAGTGATAATGCTTATGATGATGAGCGCAATGATGATCATCATTAACACCTTTTCTGGCCCACAGATCACCACTCTCATTCCGCAGAGCACAATACGTCTCAACAAGAAGAGGGCAATACGAGCAAAAAATAAAAATAAAAAAACATCCGAATCGCAGCAATAAGTAAGTAAAGAAAATATAAGAAAATAATTCAAAATGAAATTTGCTTTATGATGCGCAACCGCGCGACCTTCCTATGCACAGTGGTTTTAGAAATCATTAAAAGGCGAAGTAAAATTTATTTATATACAAAGTGTTTTTTTTTTATTATTTTTGGTTTAAAGTTTGCCAATGTATATGTATATATATAATACGATAGTAATATTAGAATATATATTTTGCTTTATAGGGTCGTCGGCTTAATCATCATCACAGATTCGGTAAGAGTTGTATTTGAGTAAATTCCTCGGAAACCTACCCAAAAAATGATGTACTTGTTTTGGATGTCAGGATTTGTTTTTTTGAAATAGAATCCATTGAGCGAGCTGTAATGACAATTTTCTTTTTTTATTAAATATATATAAATAATTGTGGAAGGTTATACCTAAATCCACAATCCTTATACCACCATCCACCACCGTTATTGCTTACACAACCTATCAAACCGTTACCATCGGTGAAATCTCTATCAAATGTGGAGAAGTTGGATTGGACGTGATAATCCAGTGATGGTCCAGCTGTTCCAGAATATTTCCCAACCGATTTCAGACGATAGGATTCTTCCTCGCTGCCAATTTTAAAGTCGCTGTAGTGAGCATAGCTCGTATTTCCGGTGTTATCCTTAAGGGAAATGTAAAGTTCATAAGTTCGTGCTGCTGTCATGAGGTGCAATTTTTCCAGGCCAAAAAAGAACTCTGCTCTTAACGTCCCAAATCCTTCCTTATACTCATTCCAGGAGCGATTAAAGTTTTCACTTCCGTTATACCGCACCTGGATGACCATCCATCCGGATGGATTACACCTGGCTTGAAATGTGTTTATTCCACGAATTTTAAATTGAAAATAGGAAATTGTGGCCAAGTTTGGACACTGCTCCGTATATTTGTATGTTGCGAGCTCATCATTTGTTAAGTTTAACTTCTCTGAGATGGATTGTGTGCTCTTAATTTGTTCTCTTAGGACTTTGATTTCGTTATCTTTAGTATTAATTTGTGTATCCATGGCCTTTAGTTGTTCAATATAGTCCTGGATTTGACTATCTTTAAGTGAAATTTCAATCCTATAGTTCATTATAACTTCCGTCAGATTATCGAGTCTGTTTTGTATTATCTCTTGATTTTTCAGTTTGTCCTTAATTTGTTCTCTTAAGTCCTCAATTTTACCATCTTTACGTTCAGCTTCAATCCTATAATTTGTTATAACCTCCGTGAGATTCTCTAGTCTGTTTTGTAATCTTATGATTTCTTGGTTTTCGTGTTTGTTATTGATTTGTTCTATTAGGTCTTTGATTTCCTTGGCCCTTACTTGTTCATTATTATCCTGGAATTGACCATCTTTACGTACAGTTTCAATCCTATGATTCGTTATAGTTTCTGTTAGATTATCTAGTATGTTTTGTAATCTGATATTTTCTTGGTTTTTGACAGCAATATTTTCTCTTAGTATATTGATAAATTTTAAATATTGTTCATTATTTAAATATATTTGCCTGTCTTTATTTTGCAGTAGAGTTTGCAAATCGGTGATGGTGGAGGCCATAACATTCTCTGTAATATTCACATTATCTCGGGTATTATTTGCATGCTCCAATGTTACGAGATTCACGAGAAACGTCTGCATTGCTGAGAAACAATATCCACTGCAATCGGTTCGAGTATTATTAAGGTTTTGTAACAAACCTTTAGATGTGTTCGCAGAGACCAGATTTGGCTTCTCCGAAAAGGAAAACCAAAAAACTAAAACGAAAACAGCCGACTTCATTATTTTGAGCTTGCGAACTGAGAAACCGATGAAAGTAAACTGAACTGAATTTGTTAAAAAAGATGTATTGTAATGTGCCTTTTATTTTTAATCTTACAATGTATATAAACCTTCATATATACATCATATATACATAAACATTCATATGTATACATAAACCGCATTAGCGAGAAATTTCCTTGATAAGTCAATATGGTTTACATGAGTTTACCATGCATCATCGTCGTCTGCCTTCTTCAAGACCGCTTCCCTTTACTTATCAGCAAATATTAATCAACTCTGTACATAACCTACATATTTTGTTGTGGAATATGAAACATTTTCGCTCAAAGTTTTAGGGTCAACAACCTTTTTACTCAGAAAATGTTTCTTCCTGATCTTGATAAGTTTAAATATATAGACTCAATTCCGCTATCATTTGGGTTATCAATAAAATGCTCAAATTAACTAAAATTAAATTGAATATACTTAACATTTTTGTTGAAAATCGCAACGATGCTGGTTCCACTGTTCACAGAACTATCTGCGTTGATATGAAATATGTGTCGGGGCGGCAGGCAGCGGAGATTTATCGAGCGCGAAATGTAATACGCAAAGTGAGGATCTGTTCCTGGGGACTGGAAGCGTGAGCCGGGAACACTGAGATGGGAGCTGGCATCTGGAAACGGAGCTGGACGCGAGCCAGGGGGATCCATTGGATCGGCGGCCACCGTTTTGAATTGGCTTAAGCGACGCCGCCGCCTTCGACGACAACAAAAACAGTAACATTCAGAGCAACAGCAATGATAATACACTTAAAAAAAGGATTTATTAAAAGGAATTCAGAATTATTTAGGAATATTTTACAGCAAATTTTATGAAATTGTTTAAATATCAATCAACGCTGAACTGGAAAAGCTACAACTTCAAATTTTAAAAATTTAATTTATTGTTTTATTAAATTAATATATATTATTAACACGCATCAAATTATTAATTGAAGTATTTTGTAGGTCCCAATTCTTTGGCGTAGTGCACAAATCGAGTGGAGCGAGGTCCGGAGCAACTGGATGCTCGATTCGGTCCGCTTATAAACTGCATCCTGCTGGGATCCATTGCCCCCGTGTGGTAAGGGACGTGGAAAGAGACGGGGCGGAGGGAGGGCAGAGGCAGGGCAGAGCGACAACGGCTGGACATTAACTAATGCATGCATTTATTTTTGTTATTTGTTGGGGCAGCTTCCATGGAGCTGCGAGGGAACCCAATGCGAAGAGAGCGGGCGGCCGAGCCGAGTTACGGAGGATCTGCTCCAATAACTCATGGTGACACTATTAAAGCGACGATTTGTAGCCGAGCATAAAATAAATGCGGATTAGACTTTATAAAGGACAAAATGCTCATGTCGGCGATTTATGGGCGCATTGGCCAAAGAGGGCGTGGCCCTTTGAAAAAGGATTTGTTGGTAAAAAAATATGAAGAAATGGGGTTGTGCCTTATCAACTTAAAGGTGTATATTTTTTGCTTACAGGAAGTACATAATATTTTGGAATATTTTTTATAAGATTTTTATTATTATTATTATTATTATTATTTAAAATAAATTTACCTTAGAATTTCTAGTTAATAAGAAATGAAATATGTATATGCTTATTAAAGAATAGAAAACATTAAAAAATAATTTCTTAAATTTATTTTATAAATTAAACTTCCTAATATCACATAAAAACCTTTATAAATTTCTAATGCTCGTTTCTCTTGCTTTAATAAAATCATTAAAGTCTTCTTAAGTAATTTATTACACTTTTTATACCACAAACATTTTTTCCAATATTTTTAAAATCAATTTTGGGAATATAAAACCTCTTTAGATACTGTTTTCTTTCTGGCAGTCAACTCCCACTATTAAATGCCGGCCATGTTACACGAATGTTATCAAAATCAGTTGAGTAAATACAACCGAAACTCTCGTCTCGCAAAAATAACAAACGTGACAAATTTCGGTGAATTCGACTGTGAAAAAATAGGGAAAGACTTGGCAGAAACAACAACATGAAATTTAACAACGACGATGGCAGCGAGGAGGAAGCATAACAAAAACTTTTATGCAACAAAAACCTTCAAGGAGGGAATTTGGGAGCGAAAATTGGGGGGTAAGCAACTAAACAGTCGCTTAGATTTTGGCAGTCAACATAAAACTTTGTCCATAGGTTTATTTATATATAGGAGAGATTCGAAGGGGCGGGCTTCGAGTCTTCACTATTTGCCAAGTAAACAAAAGTTTTTGGCGCAAAAAAACAATTCAAAGATGAAATTCAGCAGCAGCATTCATTCCACTTTTAGGGCCCGCATCTAAAACGGAAATTGCAACAAAAACAGGCCAAGAAAATATATGGCAAGGAATAGTGACAAGCGAGGGGAATGCGGGAAGGCAGCTGCTGGTAAGATCCCATGTTGTCTCAGTCCGGAAAATAATGGAATACTTTAACCCTTTGAAAGCGCGAAATTTCACAAGTTTCAAGAAAACTTTGCACAGAAAGTTAAAAAGGAAAAAAGGGGTTATATTTACTAAAAAACTCGATAGGACTGGAAAAACTATATAAAAATATTCCAACAATTAATTAACCATAATTTCAAAGCCAAAAAATGGATCAACCTTAACCTTTCTCCCTAATTAAACCTAGTAGAAAAAAAAGATAAAATATTGTTAAACAAATATTCAAAGATAATAAAGTTATTGCACAACTGCCACACCCCTTCTATGTACCATCCGAATCGAAGGATTCCCCTGGAAAAAGGACTTGCCCCTGGGGCTATTAGGCGGCGCATTAATGAGGGTCAAAATGCGTGTAAATGCAATGCAAATGTATGTTAAAGTGATTAGCAGCCTTCAAAGAGCAGCATCAGAGCGGCGGTTGGCGAGAGCGTGTTAAATCTGAGGGATCCAAATTCACCAGAGGCTTAATTTGCGTCACCACCCCACCGCCCATCGCCCACAAGGTCGCACCACCCACCACGAATTGCGTCCCTGCACAGCAGCCGGCAATAAAAACAGTAACAGAAACAAATAATAAAATATATACCTATAAAAAAGAAATCATCACGAAACAACTATTTCTGGTGACGATGAACTTACCATTCGACACTTCATTGAAGTTGACAGATGTGGGTTGTGCTCAGTTCCTGCTTTAATGCACTTAAAAAAATAAATTTGTGAATTTCTATTGCCTTAAAAAAGTCCTATACTTTAGGTATATTCTTTGCTTTACATTTTATTACATAAAATATATAAAAATTTGTCTTAGAATTTTCAAAAATTTCTTTACAAACTTCATTATTATTTGTATAATTTTGGATGTTTTTTTGTTAAGTGTACTGAGCTCAAAATCGCACCCTCGCCCAAACGTGTGCCAAAAGGCATTGTGTATTTGCACCAGGATAAAAATGGTTCGAAGGAAACATTTACAAATGAAGTTGTAATCGGAAGTTGTTCGTTTGCTCCTGCCCCTGGGTCTCCTGCTCCACTCCACCCCTTTGTGCACATAAATTGAGCGACAATTGTACAAATTGTCAAGGCGGAAACGCTGCCAGGGATAGTTCGAGCTCGGATTCCATTCCGGGTGTCCACTGTGTGCGGGCAAGGCCAAAAAAGGAGCGGATTTCTATGGAAGAAGCGGCGGGATGAGGGTAGAGGATTAGGCAGCCAAAAGGGGTGTCCTAGCCACCGTCTAATACATATGTTCACTTTGTGTTCGCGCCTTGATCCTTTTTTGATATCCATTATGAAGATGAGGGTATATTGGGTTAGAGAAATTGCAAGATTAAAGAGGAAATAGTTTTATTTCGCTTACTTTAACATAATTATTATTTATAAATTTATAATTATTAGAGGCAATATCATAGTTAAATCATTTAATAACCTACAACTTGATACATTTATGTATAATATTCTTTAAAAAAATCCCCTAAAGGGTAACCCAAAGTCGACTCCTTAAATAAGAAAAGCTATTTTTCTTCTTTTTTGCTTTTGTTGTGGTGCCCACAAATATTTGTTTTTAATAGTCCCTGGATTGCAATGTTTGAAATGCAAATAGGATTTCCGTTTTTCCCCCTAATTCTCTGTCTGTGTGTGCCTTTGCCATTTCTGTCTGTCATCCTGGCCAATTCCATTTGACAGTTGAATTGTTTTGATCCCAAACATTTAGAGAAATAATAACACTTGTTCCAGGGCAACTGTTTATGTCCGAGATTAGTCAGTTAGTTGCCCAATTTGACACATGTTGAGATTGAAACTGGACCGGGATTTGCCACTAAAAGGACTTAAAATCATGATGATAGAGGTATAATTTTATATTTTTAAACATTACAATTTTTGCTTAGTTTTGAATTTTAATAACTTAAAAAAGAACAAGCTTAGCATTTCCCTAGAAGTTGTGCCTCTGCTAAAATGTTAAATTTTAATAAAAATAACATTAAAAAACTTCCTGAACAGATCAACCCCAGGCCCTTAATATAGTTGTTGTGGCTCCCAGAGATGGCAGATGGCATCAGCTTGGAACTGACGACCCCTTGTGTCCACTGTCTTATCGTCGGAATCGATCGTTTTGAAAACGCTCAAAATGTGATGTGGTGGCATTTTCAACTTGTCTGCGTCTCAATATTTTTACTTTCTTTATGATCTCGCCACGCCAAAGAACTGGTTCACAGTTGGGATCCCACCAAGTCCGGAGATAAGCCTTCCTCCCCC